GTACCTTTCGGGCCATCGAGCCCAAGTTACTGTAGCTTTAAAACATGATTTAAAATTTTGACACAAACCCGACGCCTAGGCGCCAAAGAAACGGGGTGTCAAGGTCCCAAACAGGCCAAAAATCATTGTTTTCCCAAGAGTCTAACGCCTATGCGTCGCTTGGGTGGCATCAAGGCCCCAATATGCCTGGTTGTGGCCTAGGTACTAGGATGAGAGGCGCTTAGGCACCGGTTAGCTTCCAGCTATGATTTCGGGTCAATTTTTTGCATCATTTTGACGTCGTAAGTTGTCGGATTGCCTCAGGACCTTAAAGGGGGATGGCTAATCCCCCTTTTTCCCTCCTCTAGAGGGATCCAATGCCTCTTTTTGGAGGCACTTTGTTCATTTCCATAGCTTAGATGGGTTTAACCTAACCCCTTCCCTCTCATTCCAGCTGGCTCCCATTCCCCTGATAGGAGGCTCCCGCTCTGCTCCTCCTTCTTCTTCGGCTAGGGTTTGAGGGAATGCTCTTAGACAGAGTTTGAGAGGCTTTGGAGGTGGCTTCTTGGGGAGCTTGGAGAGGCCATTGGAGAAGGCTTCAAGGGAGTAGAAGGCCAAGGGAGTTTGCCTCCCTCATTCTTCCTCCTCTTCCAACTTTTCTTCTTCCTCCTCTTCCTTTTCATTTCCTCCACCATATCTCTTAACACGAGGATGTTTCCTTGAAGAGGAGCTTGAGGTGAGATGTTTGATGCTTTAGATAATTTATATATCCTTTAGTGACATAAGAAAATAAACACACGCGCTTGAATTTTATTTTTTTCACAAAGTTTCTTAAAAATAAGAGTATATATTTTAGTAATTTTGAGAAAATATCACTACATTGAGATGGTGAATTTAAGGTTTAACATTTTTATTTTACAGGAAAGAAGATATAGATGAGATGAAAGAATTTATTAATTTATAATTTTCAAATAAAAATTTTTCTTTGTTGAAGTTTTAGAAAATGAAAAAATGGAACCAAAAAACATAATTATTGTGATCAATTAATAATATTTTTTTTATTTTTAAGGTAGGTGTAGATATGTTAGAGAATACTTCAATGAAATTTTTACAATTGTTGGGATTTTTTGGAATTTTTAATATTAAATCTTTTAAAAAATTATCTTTAAAAATATTCTAAATTTGTATTTATATTTGTTGGCTAAAGATGGATATTTAAGTTTTAAATTTTTTTTGGCATTCTATAATTTTTTAAGTTTGAATACATAATATCATATTTGATAAAGTATCATGTGCTTATTTTACTTAGGCTAATTTGGTTATAGAGAACCTCGGAACATAAGAATATCATTTCAAACCTATAATTCGAAAAACTTTAAGTTCTCAAGATCATCAAGCAGATTGGCATACACAATCTTTATATATCATGATTGGGAGATGTTTTGTATTAACTCTTTTTAGTTTTAGTGGTTGAAAGAACTAAAGGTTATTTTTTCTCTTAGTTTGGAATGAGACTTATTTTTGCTAATTATCTACTAAAGTGTTGGATTAACTGTTTAGAGTTCTTTTACATGGATATTTTCCATTCCTATAAACATGTGGTTATTTATACTAGAAATAAAGATGTTGTGATAATTCTTATTATCCTTTTATTTTGGTATAAAAGGACTTGCTCAATGAGTGTAAATTCAACAGTTACATTTGTTATTCTCAAGATAATTCTTAAAGGCAATAAAATTTAATTAAGTGGTTGAAAACCCGGTGAATTGAAATAGTAATTCAGATCATTATTATTGTCACAATGTAATAGCCTCTTTAGGTTTCCAATTTTCAAATGCACCTTTGGTGCATATTAGATGTTACTTTCCATCTTGTCTTTTAAAAAGTATTTTGTGCTCATGCTTTCCAGAACAATTGGTGATAGCCTACAATCATCCTTACCAAGAATCACTTCTGATTGAGAGGAGAAAATGCTTTCCATTTTTATCTAATTGATATTATAAGCAACATCTACTATAATTCATAGTTTAGGTTTGTGATCTTTGTTTTTTCTTGGATTTTAGGAACAAGAGATAAATTTACCCTTAGATAACTTGATTTGCTCAAATTTTGTAACTAAATACACTAGCTTTGGAAACTTGAGATATATGTCATGCAAATGTAATGATTCATCTTAGATATCAACTGATATCCTTATTTTTTTTATGATTATTATGATTTTCTCGATAATATTTGTAATTTTTTTTTAAATATGATTCATATATCTCTATAAATGTTTTAATGGAGTTACTAAGCATCTCAACATATTATTCAAAAGCCACTTCAGTGAAGCTGTTGACAATTTGGCAAACTAGAATACATCCTTTCCCCTAGTATTATCACATGTTGATTTGAAGAAAGTTAAGTCATTTTTAGGATATCTAGTCTCATAAAAAATGCAGAAGTTTTTAACGATATACCCAAAAAGGTATTGTATTTAGTTCAAATAGATTGAGTGGTGATAATTTTTACCACTAATATTATCATCAGTCTCTTATGTTATTATGCTTTCTGAATCACTAACAAAGGCTTAATAATTAAGCTTTGATTTATAGTTTATTTTTTTGTTACTAACTTGGAGTGTGAGTCGTGAAAACCTTGAGTTGATGCTTGTCACACTATCTTTGTAGGTTATTTTTCCATCCATAGTTCGAGTGATTTCTCTCCTTGATTTCTCTCCTTGATGTTAAATTGTTGATCTTGAGATTTTAATAATGACAAAAGGATTTGTTGGTAGTAGTTTTAAGGAAAATACCAAGAGAGACCTTTTAGTACATCTGCATCATTGTCATCACTTATCATTATGGTCATCTTTTATTTTTTCATATCATTTACGTTAAACTTGAGCTAAGCATCCTCCCCATCTTTCACATTCAAAACTTGATATTCTTTTGGTAGGAAATGGTCGATGACAGAGACGTCAGTGGGGTTGACGACTACTATTGTTTTAACTGCTTGAGAATTCAAGTGGACTTATTCGTTAACCTGCTAAACAAAAGCCTCTCCTTAGAGGACCGTTATCATCTCTTTTCTCGGCAAACTTGAGCTATCATTGAATTTAAAGAAGTGATGTTTCCCCCTTAAGTGGATCCTTCTCCTTATATTATATCTCCTCTAATGGTCATTGGTTTTCCTTGACCCCAATCATTGCGCTAGATAAAAAAATGAGGGGCCACTCAAATATGTTCACCTAAAAACTTGAACAAATGATAATTTTTAAGCCATTAGACCAGCACAAGGAATGGTCAATTATGTTAATTAGTTTGTTAATGGTAAAGACGGTGTAGGTGGAGCCCACACCTTAAACCAATATTGTTTCCTTTAAGATTTAGTTTATTGCTGTAAGCACCCACTGCCATGTGACTGCCAGCAGCAATCCCAATGCACTGATCATAAGCTAACATCACTGATTTCAAAATGATGCAATTGGGTTTTCACAAATCATAAAAAAAAAGGTGCTCTGCTCAATTGATTCATGACGTCATTTTTATATTTTTACCATATTTTAAATTTATTAATTTATGAATTTATAGACATTTTTTTTTAATATACTGAATCTTTATTATAATATTTATGTAAAATAATATAAAAATATCCATAGTCCTTATGACTTTAGTTCATAAAAGAATCATGATTATACACGTCTAATTATTCTTAGCTGCATAATACTCTGTGGACATAGGATGCCTTCCATTGTAAAAATGATAGATATACTTGAGCATTGGATGTAAATTAACTCTTCACCATGCCCTTATGCATATTTTGTTGTCAATAAGATAGAAAATAATCTAATTATTTCAATAATAATTAAAAAAATTAATTTTTTTTATCCCGAAGGGCACTTAATTTCATTACTCGTCTTATAATTTATAAAAAAAATAATTTTTTTTTTTATTTATTTTACCCAAAAAGTTTTAATTTTTCTCAATTATTTTAATTTTTTTATTTTACGCAAAAAGTTTTAATTTTTCTCAATTATTTTAATTTTTTATATAAAATGAAAAAAAAAGGGTTTTTTTCTCCTCCTTCCTTAGCTATAGATACTGTTCACCCTAAAAATTAGATTTTTTTTTTTTTTAAAAAGAAGTTCAGAGCGCTACATTTGAAATATGAAATGCTCATAACACGACAAGTGTCCCCATCCCTTCGCCAAAGTTAAGTTTTTCTTATACGAAATATAAATTTGTCTTGGAGTAATTATTTTCCCTCGAAGAAAGCCTTGTGATTTCTTTCCCACTCCATCTCCATAACTTTTCAAAAAAACCCCTCCTTTCTCCCCGTTCTTGTCTCTGCCTGTTTCTTTTTTCATATATATCCACCACCTCCTCCATTCCTTCTCCCCCCTCCTCCTCCTCATTTCTTCTTCTTCAGCATCTCTTCTTCTTCTTCTTCCTATCACCATAATTGCAGGAGGCGAACATATCCCCAGAAGGAACTAAAATACAACTGCGAAGGCACGGCTTAGTTGGACGTCCGAAGCCCGGCATCTTTCTCAACGGCGACGCGGTGACACCATTCCCAATTTATTTTACTTTTCATTCTTTCCTTATAAACAAATAAACACATTATGTATTTTATATATACATAAAGGTCAACACCTCCACCCTTTTCTCTCCCTCTCTGTCCTCCACCTCCTCTGCTCTTCAAAACTCACCCTTTTACCCTTCCTTTCTTTTAACGCTTTCCTTCCTCTCCAAAAAAGCTACCTTTGTGGTTCTTCCATATTTCGCTCTTTTCTCGGCTTTGAATAATGGAAAAGGAGGCATTTTTCGGCAATTCAACCGGGATAAACTGGCAAATGCGATCCCCTGATGCGGCGGGATCACTTCCCAATCTTAACTCTGGTCATCTCAACCTCATTTGGGACCAAACAATGGATCAAAGCGCAAAATTTAGCTCGGCTATGAGCTCTCTTGTCTCTTCGCCGTCTTCCAATCCTCCGGCCGCCGCCGCTGCCGCGGGCGGCGGTAGGGGGGAGTGTGGTAATCCGGGAGCTCATTGGCCGGCTCGGAAGCATCTGCAATTCGGACGAGATCTCCGCACCTTCTACTCACTACCAAAGCGCCAAAAATTCTTGCTACAGTACTCCAATGAATTCCCCTCCAAAGCTTAATCTCTCCATTATCCCAAATCCAGCCCATATGCCCTTCTCGGCTGATCCCGGCTTTGTTGAGAGGGCTGCAAGATGTTCGACCTTTGGTTACAGTGAAGGGGGGCGCCATGGAGGCGGACAGTTTATGTTCCCTGATATCGGGAAGCTGGGAAATGCTCAGGAGGAGTCCACAGGTTCTGGTAATACAAAGAAAAGGAAGGTGGCAATGAAAGGGAAAGGAAAGGAGGTTCCTTTATCATCCTCCATCACCGGGGTCACCAACCCTCCTAAGGTTTGCTTAAATTCATTCAAAGTACGTTGTTTCGTATGGATTTCATTCTATTTACTTCATAACTGAAGAGTTCTGGGATTGCAGAAGGGGGGAGTGGGGGGCACAAATACAAAGAGAAGTAAGCCCTCAGAAGAAAGTGGAGTTGAGAAGGAATCAGCAAGGCAGGAGGGGGATGACTCCTCCGAGAAAATGGAAGAGGAAAAAATGAGTAAGCCACCGGAAGTAGCCAAGGACTACATTCATGTGCGCGCAAGAAGAGGCCAAGCCACTGATAGCCACAGTCTGGCAGAGAGAGTAAGCAGCGGCCATTGCCGCTCTGTTTTTCTTTTATTGGCATTAGCAGTAAGTCATCATCTGCACCTTGTCCCACTGCTGAATTTGATTTTTATCAGGTTAGAAGAGAGAAGATTAGTGAAAGGATGAAACTTTTACAAGATCTTGTGCCTGGTTGCAGCAAGGTATAATTTTATTAAATGTTGATCGTTGTGGAGTTTAGCAAAGGCCAAATTTTTGGATTTGTACAGATTCTATACATCCCAATTTCATTTATTGCATCGTAGGTGACTGGGAAGGCAGTAATGCTTGATGAAATTATTAATTACGTACAGTTGTTACAACGCCAAGTTGAGGTACCTATCTTGCAATTTGTAAGCACAAGATTTGGTTTTTAATGGATGTACAACTCACTTTACCTTCTATTTCAGTTCCTTTCTATGAAACTTGCCACTGTTAATCCTCAGCTAGACTTCAACTTGGATAATTTTGTCACAAAAGATGTAAGCAAGATGGTCCACTACACTAAATTAAGAAATGTGCCACATAGTATGAGCTCTGTTTGATCTAAAATGACTTATCTTTATAGATGGAGATTCATCAAAGCTGTGGGCTTCTGCCTCCACAACCAGAGTATCCATTGGAGGCCACCTCAAGCTCATTTTCTTTCACAAACCAGCCTGAGAGAACACCACTAATCTCCATTAATGGCCTCGAGCTCGGGTGCCAAGTGAGCCCCTACAACCCTCCACACCTCAGTAGAAATTTTAGCATGCAGCAGCCTGCTCTAGAGGGCTTTGCGGATGCCTCATGTCAGGTAGAATCCTTCCCACTAGAAGTTCACCATGGCAAGCTCTTTTTTTCTTTTTTTTTCTGTTCTCTGACATGTATGCTTCTTTGATGTTAATTTTCAGCTTGGGACATTCTGGGATGATGATCTCCGGACTGTAGTTCAGATGGGCTACAGCCAAAATCAGGAGAATGTCTTCCCCTCTCAAAGCTTTCAAGGTTTACATGAATTCAAAGAAGGAAAAAACTTCAATGAACTAGACTGTTAGCAGAGTTCAGAACTGATGAATCATCCTTCTTTATCTGAAATTTTGTTGCGGGCTCAGTGACCACAACGTCACATGGAAGTGGAACTATGATGGCCATGATTAACTCATACCCAAGAGAGCTTTGTAAATAATAAGGCGTTATTTATGAGCAATGAGGCTTCAGAACTAATCAACCTTTGAGTTCCATCAGAAAAATTTCATTGATATCGTTTTGCTTTCGTACTAGGATCAATGCTAGAAATCATAATTTTTTGCCTTGTTAATTGAACATTTATGATATTTTCAATGTATAAATGTTGAAATTGAGAGTTGGATGGAAAGTTCCCATAAATTTCTGTTCAAAACTATTTCTGTTTGAGCTGGAGCCAACTCCAGATTGTAGATTATAAAGTCCTTTTCTTACAACCACTGATAAGTACACAGCTTTCAACCACCAGTAGGCATAAAGAGCTTTACTCCAGTGTTGGCAAGTTAAGCAAATAGTTAGTTGTCACAAGAATGGCATCAAAATCACCAGGTTGGCAAGTTTGAAATTTGCAATTTTGGTTCCACCAAAGAAAAAGTCTTTGTTCTGGACTCCAATCTTCTATTGCTTTACAGTTCACTTAAGAAAAAAAAAATTAAATATCTACAGGAGGATTGATATACAGGGAGGATGAATAGATTCATTCCAACAAAGAGCATCTTACGGTTCAAAAATCCCAAAACACAGCCCTTTAATTTTTCCATTAAAAAAATATAAGAAGAGGAGTATTGCAGACATTCAGAGCCCAAAATACATAAGTTAAAAAGCTTTTGCTTTCTCTGGTCACTCTACAGATCAGCATTGTTGCATATAAACTCGTTGAAGTTTTGGATAGATAATTCCTGAATGGAAGGCATTGATTCTTCCTCAGATTTTTGGAGAAAAGTTGAGCTGATTTGGTGGTCCTTAAGAATTTGTGGGCCTTGTGGCGGTGATAATAACCTCTAAACAGAAAACCAATAACCAGACTGTCAAGATGGTGGCTTTAACCAACCATGATCGACAACACATCACCTTCATCCTCCAGGCTTGACAGGAATTGCAGGAACAGAGTTTGGACTGTCTTCAGTCAGTAAATGCTCCATGTTCAGGTCGCTCTCAGGAAACCTCTATGTGTATGGCTCATTTTTATGAATTCTGGTAGTTGTCTGGTGGTTTAATTTCTCAACATCTACTGTATACAGTATGCTATAGTGTTATGAAACTTGAGGAATTATACTTCTTTCCTAAAACGTGGTCATTTTTTTTTATTTTTTGATTTATTGGAGAAGATGGAAAATTGTCGAGATGGCGAGATAAGAACGGTTGCTCTCTCTCATTATTCATGCCAAGCAGCTTTATATTGGAGGTGTACTCGACCTTATGAGTTTGATTTCCCAATTGGGTTCAATCATATCTCTGATGGTTCATGACGAGCGAACGACCCAGGTTATGTCTGGTGTGGGCATTAATCATATCTCTGATGGTTCATGACAAGCGAACGACCCAGGTTATGTCTGGTGTGGGCATTGAAATTCAATATTTCTTTATATAAGTAGTAAAATTTAATAATTTTCTTATATAGTTTAGATAATTTAGTTAAAAAATAAAATTGATGGCTTTGCCGATCGTCTAAAACAAAATTGGTTCGGTCCCGACGATGGAATGATTAAGCATTTGATACGTATCAAATCATAACCAAAATATTATTCTAAACATTGTGGATTCACCCAACTCATGGATTCGGGAGCGAATAAATCTTCTAACTACAATTTTTCGATTGTCTTCTCAACTAATTAATTTTTTTGAAGTAGTCGGTTGCATAAAATTGCTCATGAGCCACTATGTTCAAGTTTTAGAGTTTGTGTGGCTGTTGTAGGTGATATATTTTATTGCAAGCCTACACGATTAGCGCTTTTGTCCCCACTCAGAAAGCAACCATCTCATTAAATACTGACATCCAAAGCAAAGCAAACAAGGAATGATAATATGGTGGAAATCATGCCAACGGATTAGCATCCATTGTGATATTTAATCATCATTTCCTTCATTCTCATTTTCTCCCTTCATTGGACCACTAAGCGAAATCTGTTAGTATGACTGTAACAACTGAGGTTACTTTTTATCAAAATCTAATGAACGGTGAGGAGCATGTAAGTTAGAAAGTAATAAAGATTTACTTCACTAAATCGCTTTCAGTGAGATGCATTTCATGGATAAGATTGGCAAATTCAAATCCAACAGCTCCAACGCAGGTGTCGCCATCTTGAACAACTGGGTGAACAGTCCATCCTCCTCAGCTGATCAACTTGAAAGCAGAAGAGGACCAAAAAATCTTTCAGAATGAGATAGAAAATGATGGAAATATATTATTGGATAAACATAGCCACAAGTGACCAAAAACTGAGTCATTCTCAACTCCATGAAATTACTGTTTTTTTTTTCTTCTTTTCTTTTTTACATTAAACTAAACACTCCAATTATCAAATGTGAAAACTCCTTAACTAGATGACAATGAACTTCTAAAAATCAAGGTGCCTTTTGGGGTAATGATTAGAATTTTATCAAAAAATCTAAAACTAAGAGTACTTATGGTTGAGCACTCTTAGGATGGGTGACCTCATGAGAAGTTATACTTGTTGTGTGTCGGAATATTCTTAGTGTTAGAGTGATAATTTAATGTATTAGCATTTACGGAGATCCGACGCACGCACAAATAAAAGAAAAATAGCTCAATAAGACATCCAAACTTTTATGAGAAAAAACCCTAGAATGGAAAAAACGAAAGGGTCTTGCCCAGTCAAAATAATCCACTACGAAATTGTAAGTAAATAGTTCTACTCTTCTCCTGAGTTAGAGAAGATGGACTTACAAAACATATAATCATAGATGTACAATAGTAATGTAACTATAATAGACATAATTGGGTCACAACAAATATATTTCTTGGATATAATAGTGATAGTTTGTCACAAAGACTTAAGTGATGTTTGTAAGTAGTAGTTGACCACAGAGATCATAGTTGGAAGTTGTAATAGCAGTAGTTCGCCACAAATGTCGTAATTAGTTGCTACAAGTGCAGTAGTTAGCAATAAAGATTATAGTCGGTGGTTGTAATAACAGCATTTAGCCATATAGACTGTAGTCTAGCTACAACGGTTGCAAGCAGGGGCCGTCGGAGGCCGGTGGTCAGCTACAACTGGGGGTGGCGGCCAGCCGTGGTCGATGGTGGCTAACGGACAATTCTTGATGATGTTTGACCATTACGGAAGTTGGTGGTTATAATTGGGACTTCAATACAAGTGTTGGACACAACAACCGTATTTAAAATACAACGATTGTAAGAAGGTGTGGCCGACAACTAGTGATCGACGAAGGCATGCAGTGAAGACCAGAGGTGAGTAACGATGGCTAATGGGCAGTGATCGATGGTGACTCGCTGCTACGGAGGTCGGTGGTTATTCGTCAGGAATTTAGTACATCTGTTAAACACAACAACTGTAATTAGAATGCAATGTTGTAAGCAAAGGTTGTCGGTGTCTGGTGGTTGGCAGTGGCTAGTGATAATGGCTGACAGTGATCGACGGTGACTAACTGGCGCTCGTAATTTGTAGTCTGCGGCTATGAAAGTCATTGTTTATTCTCCAGATTTCAATAAAATTACTAGACACAACGACCATATTTAGAATGCAATGTTTGCAAGCAGGGGTCTCTGGCAACCGGTGGTTAGTGCCTGCAAGCGATGATGACCAATGGTGATCGGCGATGGGCGACGGGCAGTGGTCAACGGTGGTTGGCAGCTACAGAGGTCGGTGGTCATCATCGGGTCTTCTCTCTAAAATAGGCTCTATAATTCTTTTTCTTCTTATCTTCCTCTGCTCCTTTAAGTCAAGAGAATGAGTCTATTTATGGTTTTTTAAGGATGGATATTTTTGTCTTTTGGCGTGTGGCTTTGCTAACCACCTGATCGGACGGTCCATGCCGTTCCACCTTAATTGTTAGTGTTTTTATAATTTTTTGAGTATCTTAATGAACTCAAAATTTAGTGATCTTAGGCTCGTTGTATTCCTCTCATCAAGACGCTCAATTCAACTATAAATATGTCAAATTTAAAGTTCATTTGACCATTAATTAATAATCCAAAGCCTCCAATGATGCTTCAATGGCTTAATATGGACTTGATTGGACTCGGATTGAACCAATTTTGGTACCAATGTATTCATTTTGTTGAGACGGTTAGTTTGACTATAAACTTATTAAAATCGTGGCTCAGATGATCTTAAAATTGAATTTGACTGAATCTCCATAAAAAAATACATCATTTTGTGCTTGATAAAAAATTGTTGATGACACTAGTGGGACAAAATCATGAGACCTTCAGCCCAAAGCAAAGGATATCTTGACAGGAGATAGTTTGGGCTGTTATAAAAAGGTATAAGAGCACTGCACCAATCTGAAGAGTTTGGGCTGGGCTGCCATGAAATTGTATCAGAGCATTGCACTGGTCTGAAGAGTTTGAGGCTTCATGAAATAGTATTAGAACATTACGATGGTTTGAAGAATTTTGGGTTGTTACGAAATGGTATCAAAGTATTGCACATGTTTGAATAGTTCGGGTTGTTATGAAATTAACTCAGAGCATTGCACCAGCCTGAAAATAAGAATAACTACCAATTGGACGGTACTGGGTGAAGAAAATTAAATTTTAAATATCAATTATATTTAAGTGGGAAAGATTGTGAAGCCCCTTAAATAAAATAAAACTGAACTTTTAAATATCAAGGTGCATTTTAGTGTAGACAATATCTCAATGTGTGAGAGTTCAGGTAATTGCAACAAAATTTGATTTTTTTTTTTAATATATTTTCTTGCTAAAAAGATGATAAAGCTAATGGAATCCGGTACAGTTCTACCAAATAGTTGCACCAAATGGCTGCTTAATCAAAAATCAGACGTTACATTTATGTGGAAACCAGTTGGTCTCTCTCTGTGTAGCATGAAATGAATAGGTGGATTCCAATCTTATGATTTGTTTGTGGAGCATGGAAATCATTGTGGAGTCTTATTGAAGCAATCTCAGTCAAAGCAAACACTTCCGGCCCAGCTGTTGCTTTTACGTTCCATCCTTTTCATCCAACAGAAAGATGCACCAGACGTTTCCTTGTCATGGAAGCTCACTCATGCAAGCAAACAAAGCCAAATGATAAGGTTGCATGGGCGTAATATGTCTTTCACAACAGGACACTTTTTACATGATTTTCATATATAAATATATATAAAGATTTATATTTGTTACAGTTATTGTTCATAAGGAGTATTAATGGATTAATGAACAGTGCATGCGCAAGCAAGGTTCTTGCTTTACTGTTGAAGTTTGGAGAGAAATTTAGCAAAGGATTGGGCCTGTAATTGTAGAAATGATGCGTAGGGAGCGCTATTTATGTACGGAGTACGCACGCAGTTTTGCATGCGTACTCCACCAAATAACCTTCCAATAACTGAGCTATTAGGGATTATTCAGAGGTTATTGGAGTATAACCTCCTAATAACCTCACAATAACCTATCAATACATTTCGCGGTTCCGACGAACATAACTCTCAAATACCTCCCAAATAACTTCTATACGCACGCAGTTCTGCATGCATACTCTGTACGTAAATATTTTTCTGTGTAGAAGGGTAAAAAATAGCAGCACATTGAAATGAAATAAAGTTTAAAGTTTACAATATGCTTTTTTGGCACATAGCATAAAATATGAGTTGACAGGGGTCCACCTTGCATATTGAGTTCAACTTGATTAAGCTCCTACTGTTTCAACGATTAAAAAAGTGGTCTTATTGTTTATGTTTTATTATCATTGGAAAAAAAATAATCCCACTTTAATTTAAATAAATAATTAGTTTCTAAACAAACTAAAATTTTAGGACATTATTGTCCTATTAAATTAGGCTCAACTTAAATATATATATATATTACATTTTTTATGTATGAAAAATGAATTTTACTTTCTAAAAGTTAAAATAGTGATATTTTTATTTGAGATGAAGGGTTTGGGTGGTATAAATGTAAAAATTAAAGTTTAGAAATGTAAATGGAGAGGAATTGGGTGATGTTTATGTAAATACCCCGCATAAAAATTAAAACCAAGTAGAGATTCAGCAAAAGCGACAAGCCAGTAATTCTATTTGATAGATAGCCGATGACAGCAAAACGCAATAAATGCGGCT